AAAAAATCGTTGCTGGCAAGGATGGCTGCAATTAGCATCATCATCTGCTGTTGGTGGAAGCCTTTGTTGGTTTATCTTTCTAGAAAACAACTTGATGATGTGTATGAAAACACCTGAAAGAGCAAATACTTTTGAACTAGTAATTTCACTTCTTGGAAGCATTAATAAAGCAATAATTTGAGATGAACACAAATATTTATGTGATATGTATTGCAGTTTTCTTTGTAATATGAAAGTGTGGAACGATAGCAGAAGTAATAAAATGATTGTGAATTACTAAGTCCTGTTTTTATGTGCCAGGCACAATGAATACTGCTGTGTATGGAATATCTTATGTCTTTCTTTCTAAATTCATATGATGTATAGTTAGTGTTCATTTGTTAATTTCCCTACCACTGTATTTATAATAATTTCCTTGGTGGAATCACCTTTATCTTGTGTAGTAGCCGTGTGATTTAGGAGAACTGACCATATCTCTATCTCCAGGAATGCACCCTGGTTGGCCAAAGTGACTCAATGACTCTGCACTCCCAGTGATTGGTTGGGGATGTGCATGTCACCTTCCTGGCTCAAACAGAGTAAATCCCAGAACTTTTGATAACTGACTGAGGGAGAATAGCTTTCTTGTTGCTCTCTTGCTCTGCTTTTTTCCTCATTCCTCCAAACATTACTAAGATTTCCATCCCTTTCCCTAGTCAGATTTAGTTTATTCTTCAAATTCCTATTGCATTAAAAAAGTTTCTCTACCGTACTATGAATTTCACTCTGCCCTACATCATTCATTAACTCAAGTCATGAATTTTTAACTTGTGGTGCCTGTTGTCAGCATTTCGGATCCATCTCATTGCCTGGGCTGTGTTTTTTACATAAAAGGTTCTTAATATTTGAGAGACCAGAGTTTGTGAAGAGTTAATGTTAAAAAAGAACAAAGGCTCTACCTTAACCTACTTAGGCTGAAAAATACGGTTTCCCACCAATTTCACCAGAAAGGGTGAATGACTTGATAATTGTTCTCCTACTTCTTCTAATTAGGAAAATTTCCTGCTGGTGACAGCTTGAAAGCACCTCTAAAGTTTCATGTCAAATGCAGAGGAAAGAAATAGGTTGAATTTGTTTTTAAATTGGCGAATTTAAAATTGTTATTAATTCTGAAATAGTTTGTCATGTGTCATCCTCTGTCACTTTTTTCTTTCCATAATGAGAGCTGAGGAAAGGGAACTTAACTTGCACATTGAATGACAACAGATGGTAGGAGTTCTTGGTCCAGACTGACATCTCTGAGAATAGGAAAGCCCAAGGCTAGAGTTGTCTTGGTCTTGCTCCGTTCCTACATAAATTAAATCCCAAGCACCATTCCAGGTTTACATCTTACAAATATGAATGCCTAGAGTCTATTTCTATTTTGCATTACCATTTAACAAATATACATAGATTTCTAAGGAGCAGTTTGCTTATCTCATCTTCTCTTTTTCATGATCTCCTGAGAGCCACATTTGCCACATGATCTTCCTAAAATACATATCTTCTTGCGCCATTTCCCTGTTTTATCATACTCCTACCATCTTTAGGGTAAAATCCAAATTTCACGGCACGGTGTTCAAGAACCTTCCCGATATGGCCTTACCTTACTGCTAAAATCTCTTCTAAAACAATATTGTAAACATTCTCTTTTCAAATCCTATATACCTAACCACTTGCCTATCCTTGAAGGTGGCATGTTGTTTCTTATTCCTGTGCCTTTGCTTATGATGTTCCCTCTGCCAACTGTGGCCTTTCCCAGTTTCTTCATTGGATGACTTCTAAACTGAAGGTTCACAGATTCCATCTTTTCTAGCGGGACTTTCCTAAACATTCTCTATGTTTCTTCAGCACTTGAACTTGCCATTAACATCATCCTTATCAATTGACAAATGCAAAGGTGGACGTGGACTTATTTTCTTCTCCCGAATGACTGATACAATTGGGTATTCAGTACATGCTCAATGAATATTTGTCTAATGAACTAAATTAATTTTCCAACTTTACATTCCTTAGAGCATAGGGGTATAGTTATGAATATATATATGCCACTGCCTCAGTGAGAAGACTAAAATGAACAAGAAATGATTGCCCCAAGCCACTGTGACAGTTTATACCCTTTTCCCTGGGGCATTAGAGTGAAAACATTTGAGAAGACATCATTAAGAAAAGATTCTAAGGCATCTGGACTAAGATGCTAACGCATGCTAAGTCATTTGGACTTTGTCCAGAGGGTGATATGACCAGCTTACTTGTTAGTCAGCTCATGGCTGACTGCTAATGGGTTGGTGAAGATGTAAACTGGGAGAAGAAACAAAATGGGGTCTTTTGTATTAAGTAGAATCGAATTTATTCTGATTTAACTTTATGACGATGGGAAAGAAAATGAAGGATTATAATAACTCCAGGTTTCTGCTTGAATAATTAGAATGAAAATTACAGTATTTACTTAATTAAAGTAACAGGACAAAGGAAAAAAAAAAAAAGGAAAAAGAAAATCACAGGCCAAAGATCTGCTTTTGTGTATTTTGAATTTAGATGCGCAGAGAGAATAAAAGATGAGTATCTAGGAAAACTTTCTTTTGCAACATTTTGTAAATTAGTTTGAGATATTGCTAAGTTCTTGGGGCTAGCTATAAAAAGAAAAATAAGTAGCAAAATGATTTTGAGAAAGTTTTAAGATCATGATAATGCTGGTTTCTATTTCATTTCATGACAAGAAGAAATATGTCTTAGCCTGGCTTGTTTGTTTTAGTTGGTTTTACTGTGTATGAAATACTTAAAGATACCATGTTGCGTTAACAGATTGAAGCATCTAGTCATATTGCAGTGTTAACCATGTTAGTTTCTTAAACTAACACTGTTGGGAAAAATGAAGGTTCTGGTAAAGAAATGATTGGCATCACTTAATTTCACATACATCTTCAAATTTCATATCAACGTATAATAAATGGTGGCAAAATAAGATGAAATTGAGTGTATTATGTTCATACTAAAATTTTAAGAATCACTCAAGTTGGAAACAAGATTTTATATTTTAAAATAAAAATATAATCAAAAGAACAACCCATAAGCACATCTCATTTTTTGCAAGAATATTTGAAAATGCTCTTTATGTGCACAAATTTAATCATATCAGACATGGAACAATCCACTTCAGAGTATATGTCATTTTCTTGCAAGAAGAAAGATAGAAGTAGGCACAAGTTCATTCTTGTTTTTTAATGTGGATATTTTCGTGCTCTTCTTTATTCTGTCACATTGCATTATATATTCTAGGCTGAAAACATTTTCTCAGTAAGACTGGATTTCAGTCAATCTGAGATAGAAATACAAACTGTGGGGATGTTAAATTGAATTAACCACTTTAAGGAAAATATTTACTTTCCTATAATATTTTGGAATAGGGTTTTTTTGGAATAGTCTTGTTACTTATGTTATCTTGGGGGATTTCTTTCTTATTTATTTTCATAAGACCAATATTTGCACAAAATAGAGAAATTATCATTGTTAAAAAAGAACTAATTTTGTCTCTCCTTTTCTCCCTTCTCCCTACGACAAAACAGAAAAATGATCTAGTTAGTCACTTTGGAAATCATGACACAGTTTCACGGTTACGTTTTAGCTGTGTCATGTTTGAATTCTAAAGCTGGAGGTATGTGGTAATGGAGCCTTTATATTTTGAGGAACGAGAAAATGAATTGTATCATATAAATACCCTAAGATTTAGTAAACGCTAAGAGAGTACCATGTGATTTAATAAATAATAGGCATCACTGGGTAGATAAACTTTTTTTCACTAAAATTATAAAATACCCGTATGTGGCCTTACAATAAACCATGCTCATATTTTCATTCCAATTTTACAGTCATTGTCTGTTGTGGTAGATGTTGTTGGTGATCTGTCTGTAAACCCTTTCCTTTAGCGTCTCCCAAACAAACTTATTTACTTGAATTATTACGTCAGACTTTGCCTCTGGGGCCACCTAAACGAAGATCTTTTCTTTTCTTTCTAAAGTTTTGTTAGAAAATGAACCGGAATAGCATGAAAAAATAGACAAACAGACTTCTAAAGAAAATTGTAACTAAGAGGGAAAAAGGTAGCGTTCAGAATATTCACATGGCTTAGACACAAAGAGGCAGAAATAAAATATTTGAGATCTGCTTTTAGTCTATAATTTGAGAAAGTCAAAAATACAGATCTGGCTTTACCAACAGTCTGTATTAAAGTTATGGAAGGAAGCAGAACAAAAGAGTGAGATACATTTTTGTATTTTTGCCAAAACAAAACAGAAAAAACAGCTATTTTGACAAGAAGAGATACTATACTGTGAATATTTTTGCTAGTATTTGAAATTTCTATCAGAGGTACATTTGAAGTGACCAAATTAAGGGAAGGCATAATTTGTGTTGCATCTGGAAAGGCTTTTTCCTTTCATCTGCTGGAATAAAAAATGTAAAAATCTTAATCAGCCTCATATAGCATGAGAATGAATAGAAGGATGTTACCTAAATGCTTCTCCTTAGCAGTGGAAGTGGAATGAAAGTTAAAATAGATCAGTGCTTTCTAAAATTCTGTTTCATCTTCTTAAATCAGGGACAGAGTATGCACTTGTTTGGTTCAATTAGCTGCTGACTGGAGGAGATAGCAAGGGCTAGTTGCGCAGCCTGCGGGGGGGGGGGGGGGGGGGGGCGTATTGTCAACCAGCCATCACTGTGCTTTCATAGTAACATACCCGAGTTAAAACACTTAACTTATTATCTAGCAATTTTGGTATTTGACCTTATTTAGCAATCTGTTACTTTATCTTTTCAAAAAAATTACACGCTTTACCACTGTTTTTTTATTAGGTAACTTTCTTGAACTTTCACAAGAAACATACTTAGAATTTTAGAATATGTACCGTAAGCTCTGAATTAAAATACACATAAATGTAATTATTGGTTAATTCTGCTCAGTCCAATTTTAATTTTATTTTTAGTTATGTGTGATTCCTTCCGATAGAGGAGAGAAAGTGATTGAGGAACTCAAATGGCAACTGTATGATTGAAACTATTCAAAGTCAAGCGTCTGCATATTCTTTCAACTATATTCGAGTACTCCCAGGTAAGAATATGTGATTGTTTATATACTTACCACCATTTTGAAAAAAGATTTGAAACTATAAACAATGTTTTTATTTTGTACCAAATATTTAAAAAGACGGTTTTATTGCAGAATATGGTAAAAGACATTGAAGCAAAATAAAATTAAAATCACAAACGAGCCTGTTTTTGTAAAAATAACTTGGGATGCTTGTGTGGCTCAGTCGGTTAAGTGTCCGACTCTTGATCTTGGCTGAGGTCTGGATCTCAGGGTCGTGAGTTCAAGCCCCGAGCTGGGCTTCACACTGGGCATGGAGCCTACTTAAAAAAAATAAAAATAAATAAAGACAAAAAACTTCTGTTATCATTTTGTTCTATATCACTTAATGTTTTGTTGGTTTTCCCCTTTAAACAAAGTTGGGATATGTATTCTTTGCTGAATTTCTTTATTATTTTTGTCACAAATCTATTTTGTTCTGAGAATATGAATTAAAGTTTCACATTTTTTGTTAATATAAACATAAATAATTTTAAAATATTTTTTAGATTGTGTTTATTATTCAGACAGTATCTTTATAGATAGATTGGTATGTATGTCACTCATTTTGCATTGGGAGAGTTACTAAAATTAGCATCACTGACTCAATGGCTATAATATTTCAAAGGCTTTTTATTATTTCTGAATTTACCTCCAGAAAGTAGTAATGAGTTACAGTTTTCGTTACCATTTTTGAAAATGTTTGTTGTTCCATGACTTAAAATATTTTCATTCAAAGAAATTCCCAAACAAAACCTAGTTTGTGTTGAAGAAGAAATTCAAAATTAAGTCAATAATCTAAATTTTGTAAGCAGTAGCACTCTCTACTCACATATTTTCAGCCAGTATATCCCTTACATAACCAAGTGTATAAGAAAAGCAAATATTACATATGTATAATCTTTCTGCACTGTCTAAAAATACATTATTTATAAGTGATAACAAATATATTTCATTCAATTAGTGTTTAGTGAAAATTTATTACTGTACTAAGCCTAAGTGCTATGATTATTTGATTATTATTGATGGTGGTGGTGATAGTAGACATTAAGGACAGGAAGGTATAGAAGTATTTTCTTACCTCTTTCAATTTTCAATAAAGTGTGGCAAGATGGGCGCCTGGGTGGCTCAGTTGGTTAAGCGACTGCCTTCGGCTCAGGTCATGATCCTGGAGTCCCGGGATCGAGTCCCGCATCGGGCTCCCTGCTCAGCGGGGAGTCTGCTTCTCCCTCTGACTCTCTTTCCTCTCGTGCTCTCTCTCTCAAATAAACAAATAAAATCTTTAAAAAAAAATGTGGCAGGATAAGAAACATATTTCAGTTCCTTAGGTAAAAGTAGAATGTGCTAGGTGCCAAGAACACTTCACAAATGAGAGCCCAGTTGAGTTGTGCTTTTTAGAGTAGGTAGAACTTTGATGGGTGAGCATTTAAATGGAGGGTGAAGTTGGAGCAAAGATACACAGCTGAGAAAGAAAGGGGGGGGTATTCAGGAAATAGGAAAGATAAGGTAGATATAGCAGAGTGATGGGAAATATGTTCTGTATTTGGACTTCTCTACTTAGGCATTTATATTTCATCATTATACATTAAAGGAACAATTGCAGGGGAATCAGATGGTCCATGCAGTCCTCTAAGAAGCTTAATATAGAAGTGGTATGTGTGTTAGACTAAGGAAGGGAGAGCAAACCCAAAGGAAGGGAGAATGATTTGTAGACTTTTCCTTTCATTTTCATCAGCATTTGTTAAACACTTGCTGTTTGCCAAGTACTTGAAGAACTTGAGGAACTGTAGAAAAAAAGATGAAGACATAATCTTTATTCCTGAGGAACTTTTAGTGTGGGGGATGAGACACACATGACCAACAAATAAATAGTGTAATAATTGAATCACATTTTTAAAAAAAGATTTCAATTATTTATTTGAGGGGGGAGGGGCAGAGGGAGAAGTAGACTCCCCACTGAGCAGGGAGCCTGGGGAGGCGTAGCTCGATCCCTGGACCCTGAGATAATGACCTGAGCCGAAGGCAGATGCTTAACCGACTGAGCCACTCAGGCACTCACAATTATTCACGTTTTTAGATAGACTAGTTGGTAACTAATTATGTAAAGATGCAGGTACTAAATTATCAACTGGTGGGGTTTCCTCAAAGACATCAAGTCTGATCAAGGTTACCGAGGAAGCAGTGTTTCTAAACGTTGGAAGAATTCAAACAAGAAGCAATGGAAATTTTATCTAGGGTGAGAATAGTGTAAATAAAAACCAAGGCAGTGAAACTCTCACTCTTTGCAGATAATGTGATACTTTATGTGGAAAACCCAAAAGACTCCACCCAAAACTGCTAGAACTCATACAGGAATTCACTAAAGTGGCAGGATATAAAATCAATGCACAGAAATTAGTGGCATTATACACCACCACCAAGACAGAAGAAAGAGAAATTAAAGAATTGATCCCATTTACGATTGCCCCAAAACCATAAGATACCTAGAAATAAATCTAACCAAAGAGGCAAAGAATCTGTACTCGGAAAACTATAAAATACTCATGAA